CTGGATTCAGAAGAGGATGTGGAACGAGGGATACCATTGCTGCTGTCAGATCGATCTTGGCTGAAAGCAGAGAATACTAGAAAGATGCTTACCTGTGTTTCATTGACTTTGCAAAGGCATTCAACTGTGTGGATCATGACAAATTATGGCTAACATTGCGAAGAACGGGAATTCCGGAACACTTACTTGCGCTCATGAAGAACCTCTACATAGATCAAGAGGCAGTCATTCAAACAGAATAAGGGGATACCGTGTGGTTTAAAGTCAGGATAGGTGTGCATCAGGGTTGCATCCTTTCACCATACTTATTCAATCTGTATGCTGAGCAAATAATCTGAGAAATTGGACTATAACAGAAGAACGCGGCACCAGAATTGGAGGAAGACTCATTAACAACCTGTCACATGACAGATGATCCAACCTTGCCTGTTGAAAGTGAAGAGGATTTGAAGCACTGACTGATGAAGATCAAAGACCACAGCCTTTAGTATGGATTACACTTCAGCATAAAGAAAGCAAAAATCCTCACAACTGGACCAATAAGCAACATCATGATAAATGAGGAAAAGATTGAAGTTATCAAGGATTTCGTTTTACTTGGATCCATAATCAACATCTATGGAAGCAGCAGTCAAGAAGTCAAAGGACAAACTGCATTGGGCAAATTTGCCGCAAAAGACCTCTTTAAAGTGTTAAAATGCAAAGATGTCACTGAGGAGACTAAGGTGTGCCTGACACAGGCCATGGTATTTTCAGTAGTCTCATATGCATGTGAAAGCTGGACAATGAATAAGGAAGACCGAAGAAGAATCGATGCCTTTGAATTACGGTATTGGCAAAGAAGGTTGAATATACCATGGACTGTCAGGAGAACAAATAAATCTGTCTTGGAAGAAGTATAGCTAGAATGCTCCTTAGAAGTGTGGATGGCAAGACTTTGTCTCATGTACTTTAGACATGTTATCAGGAGTGACCAGTCCCTGGAGAAGGACATCATGCTTGGTAAAGTAGAAGGTCAGCAAAAAAGAGGAAGCCCCTCAACAAGATAGATTGACACAGTGGCTGCAACAATGGGCTCAAACACAGCAAGGATTGTGAGGATGGCACAGGACTGGGCAGTGTTTTGTCCTGTTGTACATAGGGTCACTATGTGTTGAAACAGACTCAACGAAACCTAACGATTGTCAAGACAGTATATGTTTCCTAAAAGCTTCTCTTTTTAAAAATCACTACCAAAAGTATCTGTTATATCCTATTTATTTCAAGAGGCACAGAATAGTTGTTAGGAAAAAGGAAAGAAAAAAAAGAAAAGAAAGACAGAAAGAAAGAAAGAAAAGAAAAAAAAAAAACTTTACCATGGTGCCTAGAAACTTTTGAGGACAGGAAATTATAAAGATGGAAAAATTTACTGCACAGTGAAGAATGCTCAAACCCCTACAGCAGAAGTAGCCTGGCCTGTGAAAAGAGCAGTGATATTAGTTGCATCAAAGGATCTGTAATTTCCTAGATTTTACTCCCTAAATGTTGAGCATTGAGATATTTGCGGAGATACACGCAGGCCTGATTAGTGTGACAAGTTCGAGTCACTCCCTTAAGGGTGCTCATTTCTCATAAAAACTCATTTCACATCTCATCAGTTACAACCATGAGCTGGGGAAACTGGTTCCTCATTTCTCTGAGGTAAGACTATAGACATAGAACTAACAGAATAAAGGACTAGGATCTTTCACTAAAGAGCCTGAGCACAAGCAACCCCCATTTCTGGAAATGGAACAAGCTTTCTGCAATTTTCTATAGGGCACTCAACATAATCATAGCTGTGACACATTTTTAGGGTACTGTAGAAGTCTAGGGGAAATATGACAGGAATATTTGTTCCAGGTATCCAGTTACTGACTGAGTGATTGATGTTGTTTTGTCCCTTTGTCAGCACTTGGCAGAGTGATTTTGTGTAGAGCTCTGCAGAGTCCTAGAAGCAAAAATACTATGACACATGTTTTAAAGAGATGCTTTAAAGAACAGTTTCAAAAGATGCCAACATCTTAGACTCACTCATGTGAAAAAACAAAGAGACCAAGGGCTTTCCGTTCTAGATATTAACTGTGAACAGAAATTTATAGGTAGCAGCCACTGTGTACGGAGATGAAAAAGGAACTAAGAGAAGGAGAATGGCTAGGCCCTTCAGAGTTCTGCAGTGTTAACCACCAGGGAGGAAAAAGCCCTTTGCGGGGTGTGGTTGAATCTGCTCTTTCCGCAATAAGCAGTTAAAAAATCAAGCTGAAATAAAGCACTCTACAGATACAACAAAGGCCTGAACTTAAGTATTCTTCCTCAGTTGTTACTAAGGAGAGATCTTGTCATTTCCTACATCTTCCTAGATCATTTAACTGCAACCCTGATTATTGCATTTCACATTTATCCTTAGGGTATGTCTAAACATTACAAAATGCAGGTTTTTTAGAGGACAACGTTCAATCTAGAGTTCTCCAGTTCATACAAAAATAAAACACAACGAACACATACGATGGCATTCTCTGGATATAAAAACATATATATTTTTTTCCTTTAAAAACTGTGGGGTGGAGTAGGTAATTCTTATGCCTAAAAAATATGTTCTATGTAGGTCTAAAATAGTATGTTTCCTAAGCCTAAGCTGAGCATGGTCATTGTGGGCTACGACTTCCTCCATTTCCCAAGTTCAAACTACCAGTTAGGAATGATGTACCTATTTTCGTTTATGCTAGAAGTTAACCTCCTACTATTATCATTATTGTTTTTAAGCTAAAAAGAAAGTCCACTTTTACAAAGCTGGAGATTTTATTTAGGGAGAACAATCTATTCTTTCTACCACCCGTCTGTCAGTTTGTCGTACTGCGGTGGTTTGCATGTTGCTATGATACTGGAAACTGTGTCACTGGTATTTCAAATACCAGCAGGGTCACTCAAGGTTTCAGAAGAGCTTCTAGACTAGGAAAAAAAAGCCTGGCGAGCTACTTCCAAAAATCAGCCAATGGAAACCCTTTGGATCACAATAGTCCAAACTCATTGTGCATGGGATCACCATGAGTGGGAGCCAACTGGACATCAACTAACAATAACCTTGTCTTTTGTTTTAGTGGATACTGAGAGAAAGTAACTCAAATGAGAATTCTTGTTTATTCCCTATCTTAGTTTATATTTTTAAACGTATTTCTGTATCATGTTTCACAGCTTACGAAAGGCATTTCATATGCATTCTTCTACTTGATCCTCAGAACAACCTGGTAAGGGATTGTTTGATAGAATTTCTTAGTCCCATTTCACATATGTGAAAACTGAGACACTCCAAACTTCAGCAACTTGCATACGCTTTCACAAGCAGTAAGTGTCAGGCCTTCTAAGTCCTCTTAAGTCTACTCTTTATTTACGTTCAATAAAACACTAGCTATTTAAAAAGGAAAAAGTATAGTACTAGTACAAGGGGCCCTGGTGGCACAGTGGTTAAGCGCTCAGCTGCCAACTGAAAGGTTGGTGGTTTGAACCCACCAGCTGCTCCACAGGAGAAAGATGTGGCAGTCTGCTTCTGTAAAGATTACAGCCTTGGAAACCCTATAGGGCAGTTCTATTCTGTTCTACAGGGTGACTCTGGGATAGTATCAACTCTATGGCAATGAGTTTATCTGTTTGCTTGTTTGTTTTTCAATAGTACTAGCAGCGATGAGAACATAGACTCCAGAACCAGTTGATAGGGGTTCAAGTCCTGGCTCTGTGATTTACTTGGCCATGTCACTCTGACCAATGTACTGATCCCTTTAGGCCTCAATTTTCTCATTTATAAAAAAAGAATGAAAATAGCACCTCCCTTACAGGGAGCTGAGAAGTCACTAAGTGAGCTCATGAGTACTTACAATAGTGTTTGGCACACAGTAAATGTTTATTAGTGTTTGCTATTATTAAAGGCGGGGACAGACTACCCAATAAGCAAGGTAAGCAAGGGCTTAATTGTGCTTACTTCTTAATCTGTAGTGAACAATTCCACATGTTTTTCATCACAAAATGTGAAATTGCTCACTACGGATTATGAAGTAAAAACATGTGAAATTGTTCACTACAGATTAGGAAGCACGCACAAGTAAGCCTGTGCTTACCTTGCTCACGGGGTAATCCGTCCCTATCAGGGATTGTAAAATTTGAAAAGAAGCTTTGATTCTGTAGAATAGTGTTGTAGGTTTGGGAGAGAGACAGATGCCAGCCCTACCTGAATGTAGAATCTTTGATGTGGTGAAAAACATGAAATTGTTCACTACAGATGATACGGTAAGCACGGTAAGCACAGTGTTTACCCTGTCTATTGGATAATCTGCCCCTGATTAAAGGGTACCTTTCTCTCTACATTTTTGTTGCTCTTCTATTTTTATATTTACTTATACTTATTTTTACATAATTCAAGAGCTGATTCCCCAGGTAGCATTCAGTAGTATTTAGGAAAAATGAGCATTTCTAGAGGAAAAATACGTTCACATTCAGAGAATGAAAAAGTCTCTGACAATTTATATTTTCTGACAATTTATATTTCGCTATCTTTACTGTGCTTAATTTTTTAATGCCTGAATTTAATTAAAGTTTGACTCTTAGCATTTTCTTAAAGCAACCTAGATACCGCTGTCATATCCTGTAAATGAATAACATCATATTTCTAGAAGGATGCCAGATAGGCTTGGAAATTACTATACCATACTTTTGATTATATATTCTAGCCTGGCTGTTGTTGATCCACATGGTGTATCGTGAGAATTAGGAAGGGGAGTACCTTTTGCAGGATGAATTTAAGGCAGTAGGCTTGGTGAGGCTAACACAGGTAAAAATTCAGCTCCGAGTCATCCCCCTGGCTGGGAACCCTTGGGCAGCGAACAATCTGAACAGCCACATGCAGTGGCCCTGTACCCTATAGATTACATGACTGATGTAGCCAGAAAGAGCTAAATGTAGCATGGCAACAAAGACATTTCAGAATGACATACCTCGTGATACTTTTTCACAGTTTTCCCTGAACTGCACGTGCAGGACTTCCAGTTGACAGTGCCGCAGCCACAATTTCCTCCACAGCGCTGCACGAGGAGGCAACGTGGAAAGAAGACCACGTTGGTCAGCTTCAGCTCCTCTCTTAAATTGACTGAGTAATTCCTGGGAGTGCAACTGTACCGCTTGACATCATCATTGAGCCTGTCCAGGTCAACTGCAAACAAATACACACACTGTGGAGACGTGCTTTTGGGAACGGGGTGGGAAGATTCTGTGAGGACAGCATTAGCCCACAGATTAAATCTGTCCTCGGGATCTCAGTCACTACCCCAAACACCTAAAGTGGAAAATCTAGCTTATCTTTTGATACTATTTTCCCTTTTTTTTTCTTTTTTTTAATTCCTGGCTAAAATCTGTATCTTGGCTCAAATTTCCTTGTACGTTTTCTCAAAAGTAAGAAAAAGAAAATGTTCTGAGGAAAGAAAAGCAGTAAGCAATTTAAAATAATTCCTTTATTATCTTTTTTGGCCTTTTGTTTCTAGATAAATCCTTGATTCTAAGTTATTTTTATAATATAATTTGAATTATGTTGGGGATAACTAATTATGTTAGGGATAACTGATCTATTTGCCTGGCAATGAAATTTTAAAGTAAATGTGGGGAAGAAAAAAGTTCTAGCTTCATTTTAACTCAAAGGTCAACCAAAACATTAAAGAAAATGGCAGATTTTGGTTGCTGTGAATGTGGTACATATTTGTGTGTTGGGTCCTAGATGGCAGTAGAGCATAGTGGTTAAATGCTTGAGCGCTGAAGTAAAGCTATAGCTGCCTTCACATCATGGCTATGCCTCTTTTTAGTTGGGAAGTTACTTTTTCATCTATAAATTGTAAATAATATAACTTTTTCCATTTCATAGAAATACTTGAAGGATTGATTGTAGTGTGTCTGACACTCAGTTGATGCTGGTTATTATTATTCATCTTGATTCATTTTAATTATTTCCCCATTTTTTCCGCTAAAAGCCAGGTAGTCAAAAACAAGCAAAACAAACTTCCAGGTATTTCTCCTTTTTGGCCACTAAAACAAACAAACAAACAAAAAAAAACCCGTTGCCATCGAGTCAATTCTGACTCATAGTAACCCTATAAGGCAGAGGGTTTCCAATAGGGTTTCCAAGGAGTGGCTGGTGGGTTTGAACTGCCGATCTTTTGGTTAGCAGCCGAAAGCTTAACCCCTGGGACACCAGGGTTCCTACTCTATGTAAATAATTGTCAAAGGGGCATGGTTAGTGGGACGTCTATGAATTAAGAACATCACTCTAAATGTTCAACTCTAGGTCATAAATACTTGAATAAAATCTGTATTATTGTTTTATATGAATTATATTTGAATTAATGTTCTTAAAAATCCATCTAATCATCCATCCATTTGGCATCCAAATCCCATGACTGGTGAGCACATACATGAATATCTTCTCACAAGAATGTAGTTAGGGTGCCCAGACTAATCCAATTCCACATGTCCTGGGAGCTCAGAGGCCGGGCACTGAGCTGGATCTTGCTGAAGAGACAAGGAGTAGCCACACTGCAAAGGAGCGAGGGAGTTCCAGGGAGGGTGGGGAGTAAGTGAAAAAGGAAGTGGGTATCAGGGGGTCATGGAACGCTAGATGGGACCTACATAATCCTTTCTACTTTATTCTTTCAGTAATATGGGTGATGGCTACTATTCATTCAGTGCTTACTAAGGACCAAGAAATGTTCTAAGTACTCCACATACTCCTGATCTCTTTTATTTTCATAAATATCCTGTACTATTACTCCTACTTTACTTGATGAGAAAACTGAGGTCTAGAGAAAACTGGGCTATGATTGTCAGTGGTTTGGCAGTTATGTAATGATGTGATTTGGCACTCATATAATGGTGTAATTTGGCAGTTATGTAATGATGTAGTCATCCTCCATGATGTGATCTGATATGATCAGCCAACCAGTTGTAAGGGGAGTTTCCTTGGGGTTGTGGCCTGCATCCAATATTTATATGGATGTTCTGGAAAGCTCACTTGCTTGATCTGGATCCCGCATCTGGCTCATTATCATCTGAACTTCAGTTCTTGGGACTTGAACCAGCTGCCTGTCCTATTACCTGCCAGTCTTGGGATTTGTCAGCCTCTGCAGCCTGTGAGCCAGCAGCCAGCCGTGTGACCTGCTGATCTCGGGTTCTTCAGCCTCTGCAGCTACGTGAGTCAGGAAAAGCCTCCAGTCTGACGCCTGACCAGCAGGCTTGGGACTTGCCAGCCTCTACAACTGTGTGAGCCATTTTCTTGAGATAAGTAAATAAATACATATATATATACACATATACACTCTTCAAAAAAAAATGCAGTTAGGAGAAAATCATTTTATCTGCACAAGTTCTAACCACCATTTCTTAGTGTACTTCCCTTATGTACTAGCTAGGTCACCACAGGGAGACTCTATCCTCAATAAGTGTCTTAGTATTAAACCAAAACTTCTTGAGGAGCAGTAAGGAAAGGTCTCTCATGGTAGAAATCAAAGGCCAAGGACTCTGTCAGTAGAATACATCTGAGGAAAACTTAAAAAAAAAAGAAAGCACAAGTCTGAGCAAGGAGTCCACTTGATCCCAGGAAGTCAGTGAATTTCACTGACGGCAAGGAAAAAAAAACCTGGTCATATGGCTGGATGACCCTTTGAATAAGGAATTAAATGGCAATTGGACCGATGCCCCACCTGACTGTATATGTGGGTAATGCCCTTGCATATGTGCAATGATGCTGTGATTCTCAAGGACAGGAGTTTATCCCCAACTGTTATATGCTGAGCCTGGGACACTGTCGGGGCTGAATACATGCTAAATAATCATTGTGCATAATTTACTGCTGGTTGTCCCCCCCTTCCTTTGTAAAGACATGTCACAAGTTTAGCTACAATCAATCCAGATTTAAATTGAATGAACCCTGTCTTGGGAAAGGCACCATTGTATTGCAGCTAGAGCCCTGAAAATAACTGCAAGCAAAGCAGGAAGGATTACATAAATGGATTAAGAAGTGCGGCAATCATCCATCACAAGTGTCCCCTTGAGATAAATACTGATGCCGGCCTATGCATTGCTGGGCTGTGGGCAGGGCTGATGCAGAGGGCCAAATCTGCTGCCTGTGATTTGGGTGATATATTAGTCTAATATTGTGGAACCAAGAGGTGTTATTAGCAGGAAAGAGTTGTGATGTGTGGGAAGGCAGAAAGGAAGTAACAGTATTGAGTCTCCACTTTAGTTCACTTCTCTGCTAGGCACCTTACACATATTACTATATTATTTGTTCCTCACGCTTTTTGGTACAGGATCAGTGAAAAAGAGGAAGACCCTCAGCAAGATGCATTGACACAGCAGCTGCAACAACAGGCTCAAGTATAACGATTGTCAGAATGGTGCAAGACTGGGCAGTGTTTCATTCTGTCGTACATTGGGTCGCTGTGAGTCGGAACCAACTCGATGACACCTAACAACAAGAACAGCCACCCTTCTGAGGTGGGTACTATTTACCCAGGGTGAATAGTAAGTGGTTCAATTGGAATTGAAGCCCTTCCCCCTTTTGCTCTATAGCCTTTGCCACATCAACAGGAAGAGGGGCATGACGGGTAACTCAGTAGCTGAAGGAAGAGGACCACCTGTAGGGTGTTATACTGGGGGATGGGTGGTGAATGGCCACATTCTTATTTCCAGGATATACTCAAGCCACATGACAGCATACCTACTCTACGGAATTTAGCTAAACCCGGAAGTACCCTCAACAAGGATAAGGCATACATGCTTTACTCCACGTGAAATGAAACCCCTTATATTATATAACTGTTTTAGGGATTAGTGCTGGTGACTTCTGTTTCTTACCAGCCATGAAGAAATTTACCCTGCTGTCAGTTTTATGCATCAATTCACTGATGTGACTAAAAACTGGCCCAGTATGATGCTGTGGAATCCAGCTGCCCTACTTATAAGGGGATTGAAACCACCGAGGCACTCAATTTAGAACTAGAACTAAAAGGCTCTTCTGACTGGATGCAAATAATTTTAAAGCATGATTGCAGACTCTCTGCAGGGGATATTCCAGTCAAAGAAGACTGATTAGGCAGCTTGGCAGAGCAGGGAGCCACGCGTGAGGCTGAGCGGCAATTAAGGCTTCTGGTGCTCGACTTGGAAGGGGGACTGGTAGAGAGCCTTTGGGACGGAGGCAGGCCAAGCTGTGCAAATCCAGGAAGAGGGGCTGCCCTCTTCCATTCCTGCCTCTATAGCTGAACATTACAGAGCAGCAAGGATGCTCCCAGTTTCATTCTAAGGCCCATTAATCTCATCTAATTTCCCTGATTTCACCCAGGTGTACATAATGTTATAATCCCTCTTTCGCTGTCCTTCTGAATTTGCATCTTGCTTTTTCATGGATCCTTCAACATCAGTTAAACTTTCTGGTTAACATCAGTTAAACTGTCTGCCTGCTGACAACCTGCTAGAAAGGCTGAGAAGTATCCACTGCCCCAAATGGCTTCCTCTGGACATTAATCCAGCGTCAGGTGCAGCACAGTTCAATGGGGCCTCTTCCTTCCATAGTCCCAGCCTCAAAGCACAGCCCAGTTCCAGAGGTCCCTCATGCCATGATAAGAAGTCTCAGATTTGAGCACTGGGATGGGAATATGTAAAGCAATGGTATATTTATGAATGCAAAAAAACAATCCAAACCTGTTGCTATTGAGTTGACTCTGACTCATGGCACCCCATGTGTTTTAAGAGTAGAACTGCTCCATTGGGTTTTCTTGGCTGTAATCTTAATGGAAGCAGATCACCAGGCCTTTCTTCCACAGTACCACTGGGTAGGTTGGAACTGCCAAACTTTAGGTTAGCAGCTGAGCACAAACTGTTTGTGCCACCTAGAGACCTTGTTCAGTTTCTGATAGATTAGAGCTTACGAGTGGGAGGAAGGAGAGTCAGCCTCGTCTTTTTGATCCTGGCCATCTGTATTACTAAGTGCCAGATAGTGTGGAAAGTTCTTCACATACATGATTGCATTAAATCTTCATAAATGCTATGAACTGCATACCATTATTGCCCTTTCTTATATAGATGAGGACACTGAGCCTTTGAAAAACTAACAAAAAATCTTGTCCACAGACACACACCCAGTGAGTGGTAGAGCCAAGTTTTGAATCT